ATCAGTTGATGGACATCTGAGGTGTTTCTACTTTTTGAATATTGTGAATATGACTGCTAGGCACATAGACGTACATGTTTTTTTGAACTCCTATTTTCAGTTCTTTTGGGTCATATGGTAACTCCATGTTTAACTTTTTAAGGAAGTGCCAAACTGTCTTCCATAGCAGCTGCGCCATTTACATCCCCAGAGCAATGTAGGACAGCTCCAACTTCTCCACATTCTCACCAACACTTATTATTCTCCATTTTTGGCACCATTTAGTAGGTGTAAGGTGGTGTCTCACTGTGGTTTTGATTTGCATTCCCCTAATGACTAATGATTTTGGGCATCTTTTCATGGGTTTATTGGCCATTTGTTTTTTTTTTGTTTTGTTTTGTTTTTTTTTTTAGACAGTATCTCGCTCTGGTGCCACGCTGGAGTGCAGTGGCACAATCTCAGCTCACTGCAACATCAACCTCCCAGGTTCAAGCAATTCTCCTGCCTCACCCCCCGAGTAGCTGGGACTACAGGCGCGCACCCCCACACCCAGCTAATTTTTGTATCTTTTTTTTTTTTTTTTTTTTTTTTTGAGACGGAGTCTCGCTCTGTCACCCGGGCTGGAGTGCAGTGGCCGGATCTCAGCTCACTGCAAGCTCCGCCTCCCGGGTTCACGCCATTCTCCTGCCTCAGCCTCCCGAGTAGCTGGGACTACAGGCACCCGCCACCACGCCCGGCTAGTTTTTTGTATTTTTTTTAGTAGAGACGGGGTTTCACCGTGTTAGCCAGGATGGTCTCCATCTCCTGACCTCGTGATCCGCCCGTCTCGGCCTCCCAAAGTGGTGGGATTACAGGCTTGAGCCACCGTGCCCGGCAAATTTTTGTATCTTTAGTAGAGATGAGGTTTCACCACATTGGCCAGGGTGGTCTCTATCTCCTGACCTCATGATCTGCCCACCTCAGCCTCCCAAAGTGCTGAAATTACAGGTGTGAGCCACCGCACCTGGCCGGCCATTTCTTTATCTTCTTTGGAGAAATGTCTATTCAAGTATTTTGCCCGTTTTCTCTTCGGTTGTTTGTCCTTTTGCTGTTGAGTTGGAAGAGTTTTTTATATATTCTGGATCCTAGATCCTTATCAGACAATATGATTTGCAAATATTTTCTCCTATTCTGTAGGTTGTCTGCTTACTTTCTCGATAGAGTTCTTTTATACAAAAAAGTTTTTAATTTTGATGAAGTCCAGTTTTATCTTTTTTCTATTTATTTATTTTATTATTATTATTTTTGAGACAAAGTCTCCCTCTGTAGCCCAGGCTGGAGTGCAGTGGTGCAATCTCAGCTAGCTGCAACCTCTGCCTCCCAGGTTCAAGTGATTCTCTTGCCTCAGCCTCCCGAGTAGCTGGGATTACAGGTGCCCACTGCCACACCCACCTAATTTTTGTATTTTTAGCAGAGATGGGGTTTCACCATGTTGGCCAGGCTGGTCTCAAACTCCCAATCTCAGGTGATATACCCACCTCGGCCTCCCAAAGTGCTGGGATTACAGGCATAAGGCACTGTGCCCAGGCCAATTTTATCTTTTTTCTTTCGTTGCTCATGCTTTTGATGTCCTATCTAAGAATCCACTGCCAAATCCAAGGTCACGAATATTTTCCTCTATGTTTTCTTCTAAGAACTTTATAGCTTTAAGCTCTTATATTGAAGTCATTGATCTATAGTCTGAGTTAACTTTTGTATATGGTGTGAAGTAGGGGGTCCCATTTCATGGAAATATCCAGTTGTCCCAAGCACTATTGGTTGAAAAGAACATTCTGTGGTTATATGAGTTTTTATATGAACTCTCAATTTGATTTCACTAATCTATTATTTTACTTTAAATCTGAAATAATTATTGTTTTCCCTTAAGAGTAAACGGCAAGAAAGGAATTGGGTTCAGAAAGTACATTACTCTTTCAGGAAATTTAATTATGTTGAAAAGGAAAGAGAAAGGGCACAGCCAGAGGGGAATGAGAAGCATTTGCCTTGCATCTCTCATATGCTCCACAGTACACTAGATGATTTCATTTCATGCTCAAATTCTTCAATATTACTTTGGTTCCATAAAAAAGGAAACTAAGATTCAGTGACATTAACATTTTGTCCATGGTCACACACTGTGCTGAATGGCAGAGCCAAAACTGTACCCTAGATCTGTTTGATTGTATATTCTGTATTTTTCCCTCTCTATTATTTTGTGTCCAGTTTTGGACATGACTTTACAGTGCCTTGGGACCTACAGAGAGAGAGATCTAGTTTACATTTAAAAATATAGTACTAGGCTGGGCGCAGTGGCTCATGCCTGTAATCCCAGCACTTTGGGAGGCCGGGGCGGGTGGATTGCCTGAGCTCAGGAGTTCAAGACCAGCCTGGGCAACACAGTGAAACCCTGTCCCTACTAAAATACAAAAAATTAGCCGGGTGTCGTGGCACGCGCCTGTAATCCCAGACACTCGGGAGGCTGAGGCAGGAGAATCGCTTGAACCCGGGAGGCAGAGCTTGCAGTGAGTTGAGATCATACCACTGCACTCCAGCCTGGGCAACAGAACAAGACTCTGTCTCAAAATGAATAAAAAAAAATAAAAAATAGTACTGAAGCTCAGAAAAGAACTGAGATTTGAGATAAAACATAAAAATAATCGGCACACAAGTGTAGTTAAAGCCAGGGAGTGGAAGAGATCACTTGATGCCGAAGACAATATGAAAAGCCTTAGGTTTAGGCTTCAATTGGATGGAATCTCAGGACACGTCAACATTTAAGAATTAGAGCAGAATAAAATGAGATTCAGGAAGGACTAGAAGGAAAACTCAGTATTGACTTCACTACCTGCCAGTGGCAAATCGAACTTGTTCATCTCTATATCTCCAGCATCTAACGTTGATGGTGAATAATGGATGCTCAGTAAATATGTTAGATAAATATCTGAATGACACTGAAACTGAAGAAGAAGAAAGTTTCCAGGAGACTTTTAGAGAATAGTCAATGCTTTTGAAAAGACAATGAAAGATAAGGTTTAAAAAGTAACCACTTGATTAGGCAACAAAAAAGTCAACAGTGACCCAGCCAGAAGAACACTAAGCAGAGTAACAGATAAAAGACTGTAGTGGGTTCAGTAGTGAACAGGAAGTGAGGAAGAAAAGAGAGCACGTATAGACCATTCTTTTAAGAATTTTGATGTAGAGGAATAAGAGAAATAAGTCAGTAGCTAGAGAGCTGGCCAGAGTTACACAAGTTTTTGTATTTTCAGATAAGAGACATTTCAGCTTGTTTGTGAATACAGATATCACTGGAAGCATTAGATTAACAACTTAGTTTTCAAGCAGCTGTAGATTTATTTGTAATATTTTAAATACTATATATGCGCAAAGTAATTTTTCTAGGGGGGAGTTTATTATACTTAAAAAAGAAATTTCTAAGTACACCTATTTATATTGGCAGTTTACACTAATCTGAAGAAATCAATGAATACAATAATAAAAAAAATCCTCTCCAAACAATAGAAACGACTATTTTGTAACACTGCTAGAAAAGGAAACTGGAACTAATTCTGGTAATAAAATAATTCATTGCCAACATGGCGAAACCCCATCTCTACTAAAAATACAAAAATTAGCCAGGCGTGGTGGTGCACGTCTATAATCCCAGCTACTGGGGAGCCTGAGGCAGGAGAATCACTTGAACCCGGGAGGCTGAGGTTGCAGTGAACAGAGATCGCGCCACTGCACTCCAGCCTGGGCAACAAGAGCGAAACTCCATCCCCCGCCGCTAAAAAAAAAAAAAATTGTTTCATTCCCAGCATAGATACCTCATCCAAGAGGAAAAGATATCTGGGATCAGAGGTTTGAAATGCTATTTTATTTACTCTACAAAAAAATTTTACATTTCATATTTTTGCAAGTATTTTCAGTATTTTAATTTAGGTTTCTTAATGTGCTTTTAAAAATTTATATGTAACATACAAAACTGTTTCTAGTCAGCTTTTTACTATTTGGTTTTTATAAATTATTGTTTAGACACCTTTCGATTAGGCTTGATTAAAAAATAAGAAAATGTGAACATTACTAAGCCACAAAAGGCAAAATACAAACTAAAATAGGAATTACCAGGCAGGGTAGCTTTCCAACAAGTTTGAACAAATGGGAAAAAATATAGAGTGGGCATGAAGCAGGTTAAAATACACTTTCTAGCCATGGCCACTAGATGGTGCAAACATTTTGCAGGACTTAAACTAAATGCCTTAAGCACTCAAAGTTTTTTGTTTTGTTTTGTTTTGTTTTTTTGAGATGGAGTCTCTGTCGCCCAGGCTGGAGTGCAATGGCGCAATCTTGGCTCACTGCAACCTCTGTCTCCTGGGTTCAAGTGATTCTCTTGCCTCAGCCTCCTGAGTAGCTGAGATTACAGGCGTGTGCCACCACACCTGGCTAATTTTTGTATTTTTAGTAGAGATGGGGTTTCACCATGTTGGCCAGGCTGGTCTTGAACTCCTGACCTCAGGTGATCCGCCCGCCTCAGCCTCCTAGAGTGCTGGGATTACAGGCGTGAGCCACCGCACCCAGCCTCAGCGCTCAAAGTTTTAAGAGTATCTCCAAATAAATTAAATGCCTTGCTTCAAGGAAGAAGTGGAAATTTTTTTTGTGCTATCTGGGAGTGTAGGAAAATTTATGTATGTATGTGTATTTGTTGTTTTATATTTTGCTTTTTCAGCATAAATGTTTTGAGCTTGTATGTTCTTCAAAGATATTTTAGCCTCTCTGAGTCAACAGCATCCTGCCTGCACGTGGCTAAATGGCACTGGGGGTGATGATGGCATATGTCTTCATGGTCTTAGAACTAACTCAATTCCAGTATTTCTACAGAAACAAAATAGTATAAAAGTGAAGTACTACAAGAAAAATTACATCCCCAAAATATTGGTAGTATGAAAAATACTAAATTCCTGGTCTAATATGCTAGGAGTCCCTACTGAGCAAAAATGGGTACTTACTTGAATTAGGGGGCCAGGACTCCCGGTATTCACTACCTACTTGAGTTCTAGGTGACTTGACCCGAACCTGCGGAGCCACACAAAAATCACAAGAGTTATGATCAATGGGAGAATTTAACCAAGAAATTTAAATCATAAAAGTGTGCTTAAAATACTACATATTTTTCTACCACCTCTTCCACAACATATAAAATCGAATATATTTATCCTAACAATAAACAATAATAATATATATGAAAGGCTTTCTGGTTTCCAATGTATTTTCCATATATTTTCTCATCCAATGCCAAGCTCATTCAGGGGTAGGTGGGAGGGGAAGAAGCAGTAAAGGGAGACCCTGTGGGGTCAAGAGCCACAATCCTTACACAGCTACAGTTTCTGGGAGCCAGTGTGACCATGAACTCCTTCTCTGGATTGTCATACCATAATGAATAGTCAGTTCCGCTGAGAGAAAAACTAATGGAGAAAAACAACTCTAACCTTTAACAGGGTCTTGTATCTCTTCACACTGCCTTCCTCTCAATTAACATTCTTAAAACCCGGCTTTCTCAGGAGCTTGCCTAAGAGAGACACCACAGCAAGAAGGTTACCTTTCTTTCTTGTTTCTTCTGCGTCTCCATAACGTGCAGGCGCTCCATGAGGCTGGAGATGCCCTGCTCCAAGCTGTCAATGGTGTGGTGCTGAGGATCGTGCCCACTGAAGCTGTTGCGCAGGCTGCGGAGAGCATCTCGAACAAGCTGCAGGTCGCTGGTCTGTGGGCAAAAACAAGGTGCTGCTGGCATGGCCCGGTGCCACATCCCAACCACTGGGCTGAAGTTTCCAGAAGAGATTTCTTTTTCCCCCACAGAAGCAGGCCTATGGTTTCTCCACTAATTCTTAATTTTGTATAGCAAGTGCCTCACATCTTTACACACTCCACAGATCCAGGAATTAGGGAACTGGAATATAAAAGGCCTCATCCACTGGCCGTGGGTTTGGCACTCTTTGGTTTCAGTGAGAAATGGCAGGTCTCCGTCAATCCAGGTACCTACCCCTCTGTTGCTGATTGAAGCAGCTCCTTTTCCTGCTGTTGGAAGGAGAAAACCATTGCTTTGAGAGTTGTGACTGTTGTAGTTGGTCACCTATAGCAGCATGAAGAAATGTTGCTTGTTAAAGGGAGAATTGTAAACTAGATGTGCTGTCTTATTTTTCTTCTTTACATTTATCAGTTCCTGACAAAGTATATAATTGTCTGTTTGTTTAATGGCTCTCTTTATTAAAATGTATCGTTCTTAAGTATAGATTTTTTTCCCCTTTTGGTCACTGCCATATGCCCAGCACTTGACACTTAGTACGCATTGTTGGATGTGAATGAAGGAAATGCTAACCTCCACCTGGAGGCCACAACCTAGCCTCTGCCACAGCACTGGAGAGCCTCAGAATGCTGCTCCAGCATTGCCTGGCTTTGCTTCAGTAATTTAAAAATAATGCTGAATATATATATATATATGTTTTGTTTTGTTTCTTGGGACAGAGTCTTGCTCTGTCACTCAGGCTGGAGTGAAGTGGTACAATCTCAGCTTATGGCAACCTCTGCCCACCGCCCCCCCTCCGGGTTCAAGCGATTCTCCTGCATCAGCCGCCTGAGTGGCTGGGATTACAGGCCCGTGCCATCTTGCCTGGCTAATTTTTGTATTTTTAGTAGAGACGGGGTTTCACCACATTGGCCAGGCTGGTCTCAAACTCCTGACCTCAAGTTAGCCACCTGCCTTGGCCTCCCAAAGTGCTAGGATTACAGATGTGAGCCACTGTGCCAGGCCATGGTGAATATTTTTTGAGTCTGACTCTATGCCAAGTGGATCCAACAAGACTGTGCTTATTTATGTGGATTACCTCATATATTCTTCATAATGACGGACTGAATCACTATTATTTCCATTTTCCAAATAAGCCCTATTTCTAAGGTTCAGAAGATAAGCAACTGAAGGCCACACAACGTAGGAGTGGTAAAGGTAGAACATGAAACCAGATTTTCTTATTCTGGAACCCGTCCTCTTAACTAGCTCATCATAGAGTCTCCTAACAAACGAGCCTGTGGCCTTGGTTCAGCTCTGAGTCAGAAACACCATCGCCCCGTTTGCTTCATAAATGTGGGAGGGAGAACACAGGGTCTAGGTTACCTCATCTGCCTCTCTTTTCATACAGTGAGCCAAGAGGACATCTTTGTGTTCTAGCTCTCGCTCTAGATCCACCTGCAAAACAGACACTAAATCAGAAAAGGATTTCTTTGGGCCAAAGGGGCAGGAGAGTCAGGGGCTGAATATGTTCTGACCTGGTGGTAACTGGCATCAGAGAGTTTCCGGAGTGCTTCTTCTAACTTGGCCTGGTGCTGCTGAAGGAGGCGATCCTTCTGCCCCAGCTCTTTCTGCAACAGAGATAGAGCTTTCAGATGAGTGGCAAAACCAGGGGCACTGAAAAGTTCCCCTCTGTAATATAACTTCCACTCAAGTAAAGTAGAGCCTCAGGAAAAGAAAGTCCTTTCCTCAGAACATACCAGGAAGACTTTACACACCATAATAGTCTTACATAGTGCAAAGGATTCTTCAAGAGTAATGAAGAAGGGAACTGTCATTTGTAGGAGGACCAGTATGAGCCATTCATACTAGTCAGAGATAAAGGTAAGACTAGAACTGAAGTTTCTAGACCCCTCGTCCTGTACTCCCTCTCCTAGCTGTGCCATCTATTCTTCAGGGCTAGTGCATCAGGGGACACAGAAAAATGCTTCCTTCTAAAAAGCAAGGATAAAAAATAATTAAAAAGCAAGGATGAGAATAGAATACTTAAGTGCTTTTTGAGCAACAATAATGGGCTGTTCATGAAAGGTCAGTGGAAGGCATTTCCAAACTGATATTCACTCTTACTTTATATTCTCCCAAGAGCCGGTTCCTCTCATCTAGCTTCCTCTGCAGATCCACCTGCAAGGATAAGAAAGAATTCATGGTATGCAGGTACTGCCTGCTAATCCTCAAGGAAACCAGCTACTTAGTAACCATAGTTAATGCTGGCAGTTAACAGTATGCAGCACAGAGAGGGTATGATGGTAAAAATACACAGCTGCTCTCCATGTTGTTAGTGAAGTAATTAGACTGTAGAACCACAATTTTGCCTCGGTATCTCAGTGTCCTCAAAGTTGAAGAGGAGATCAAGGACCTTCCTGCCCAGTATGATGTGGGCTTTCACCTAGGAACAGAGATGAGTCTAATGGGGAATAAAAATAATTGCAGACACTTAGGGCAGGCATCCCAGAAGCAAGATAAGAGATTAGGATGGCCAGTCTAATAGCACTTCATGCACTAGCCTGTTCTGCTAATGGGGCTCACTGAGGTCAAGGCTCATTCATTTAACTCACATTCTGGTTGTGCAGCTCATCTTTGTCCATATTTGCCCTCAGTAGCTCTTGTTTGAGCTGAAGAACAGATGTGTCCTGCTGAGTCAATCTCTGCTGCAAGGCATCCTAGGGGAAAAAGCATACTAATTACTGTTGTCTCAATTCATCAATCAGCCAGTTGTTATTACAAATTACTAAACCCTTTAATGTGTTTCCAGCATTCGTTATGGCAGACTGGAAGACAAATGGAGTAAAAGGGTCTTGCCACGAGTTGCTGAGGAGGGGTTTTTCTGTCCCCCTCTAGGAAACTGGCATCCAGACCAAAATCCTTTCCACTGTTCTATGAAACTTACTGAAACCTGGTTTTTTTTCTCTGCTTACTATTCGTCCCCGCCCTCAATCCTGATAGCATGGTGTATTCGAGAGAGAATGACTGGACTTTGGGATCAGAGAGACACAGATTCAAATTATAAAGCTACCACTTACTACTTTTGTGATGTTAACCTTGGACAATGCACTCTACTTTCTCCCACCTGGGCTTTCTCATCTATATCTTGGGCATATAAATACTCAATCTAGAGTAGCTCTTTTTCCCTCTACCTCTCTGCCCAGTCCCCATTTCCTGGAGAGATGGGCCCTATTCATCCCGCCACTCTGTTGTTAAAGAATCCCTGAAATCACTCCCACACTGGCTTCCAGAGCCTTGCTGCTAACCTGCTTCCAATGGCTTCCAATGCCTAGTCTGGACCAGGATTAGAATTATCTTTCCACTGAGCAGAACTGTTCTTTGATTCATGATTCCTCTTCCCAATTTCCTAGGATCTTAATAGCATTAGGTTTTCTTTCCCTCAGCTTGAACCCTCTTGGTTCCTATCATGCCTAACAAAAGGTGAGCTGGATATCCTTGCTTATAAGGACAGTTAGGACACATTCTATCAACCATGGTGGCTTCAAACAGAACTAATGGACTAGGGCTGCATTCTAATATATTTGTCTTGACTTTTCTCTCTTTACAGACTGCAAAGAAATGGTACAGACTATGAAGAATGTGGGAGCCCATTCTTAATTATACTCTCTGCCATGACAGTACATGGTAAAGGAAGTCTAAGATACCTTTGGCATCAGTAGTTCAAAGGAATATTTCCCAAAATGTGCTCCATGGGACATTAATGTGCCACATGACATTACATGGAAGAAAAGACACTCCTGTGGTTATTAATTCTAAATCATTTTGAGGCCAACCTCTTTACGACAGACCTTTTCAGATTCTTTATATGTTATTATTCACAGTGAGTCTTCAAGACTGCAGAGCATTTCTCAAATTTATCTGACCATGGAACACATTTGTTTTTTAAAGTGTTTCAAAAGTACTAAGCCTACAAAATATACTTTGGAAAATGTTGCTGAGTGATAACTCTAGTCTAGCCCATCAATGGATATGCAAGGAAGAGGGGAAAAGCAGCAACATAAAAACATCCTCTTCTACTTCTAGGTTTTATTCCACAGATATACTCCCATTTGGGTGAAATAACATATATTCAGGCTGGACATGGTGGCTCACGCCTGTAATCCCAGCACTTTGGGAGGCCAAGGCGTGCGGATCACGAGGTTAGGAGTTCGAGACCAGCCTGGCCAATATGGTGAAATCCTGTCTTTACTAAAAATACAAAAATTAGCTGGGCGTGGTGGCACACGCCTGTAATCCCAGCTACTTGGGAGGCTGAGGCAGGAGAATTGCTTGAACCTGGGAGGCAGAGGTTGCAGGGAACCGAGATCATGCCATTGCACTTCAGCTCTGGGCAACAGAGCAAGACTTCATCTCGGAAAAAACAAAACAACTAATATTCAAGGCTGTTAGACCATTGTTTATATTAGCAAAAACTAGAAATTTTCATATATAATAAATTATTTAGCATATATATGTATGTATACAGTGAAAAACAATGGAATATGATACAGCCATAAAAAAAGACCTAGGAAAGTCTTTAGGTACTACTGACATAGAATGAGCTCGAAGATATACTACTAAGTGAAAAAAAGCAAGGTGTCAAGTTGTATTTCTAGTATACTACTATTTGGGTAAAACCGTGGGGGAAAACGATACACACACATATGTGCTGATAACTGTTAAGATGCATCTAAGAGGTCGGGCGTGGTGGCTCACACCTGTAATCCCAGCACTTTGAGAGGCCGAGGCGGGTGGATCACCTGAGGTCAGGAGCTCAAGACCAGCCTGGCCAACATGCTAAAACCCAGTCTCTATTCAAAATACAAAAAGTAGCTGGGTGTGATGGTGCACACCTGTAATCCCAGCTACTTGGGAGGCTGAGGCAGGAGAGTCACTTGAACCCGGGAGGCGGAGATTGCAGTGAGCCAAGATCGCGCCACTGCACTCCAGCCTGGGCGACAGAGTGAGAGTCCATGTCAAGATTTAAAAAAAAATAAATAAAAAAAGATACCTCTAGGAAAGAGAACTAGGTGACTGAGGGGACAGCTGGCAGGCAGACTTTTCATGGTTTATCTTTTTATACCTTTAAAATTGTTTGAATGTTAGTTAATTATTCAAAAACAAAGTAAATAACAATTTTTTAAAGGATATTCTTTTTTATTTTTCTTTTTTTTTGAGACGGAGTCTCGCCTTGTCACCTAGGCTGGAGTGCAATGGAGTGATCTCAGCTCACTGCAACCTCCTCCACCTGGATTCAAGCGATTCTCCTGCCTCAGCCTCCCAAGTAGCTGGGATTACAGGTGCTGCCACCACGCACAACTAATTTTTTTGTATTTTTAGTAGAGACGGGGTTTCACCATGTTGGCCAGGCTGGTGTCGAACTCCTGACCTCGTGATCTGCCCGCCTCGGCCTTCCAAAGTGCTGGGATTACAGGCATGAGCCACGGCGCCTGGCCCTAAAGGACATTCTTTCACATTGAAGAGGGATCTTTTACATATAGAGACAATCAAGGTGGCACAGATGGAAATGGCAGCACCGTGAATCATAACCACTAGAAATAAGCCTCAGCAAATCAAAGGTATATTCCTCGACATGTCTCACTTCCCTCCCACAAAGCCCTTTCTTTACCAATAGCACAGAGCTACTAAAGGTCCACAGAAAATTCCACCTCTCACCACTCACCAGCAGACTACTTTACATTGCAGAGACTATTTAAAGAATTAAATGTCTTCTTTTTTACCTTTATCCCCTGTAAGTTTCTGGCTTCTTGTTTACATTTCAGCAGCTCCTTCTGCAAACCAAATATAGTTAGATCAGATGGTGACATCTGGGTTGCTTCAGACTGCATTACCTCATTCTGTCGGCAAGAGGACAAAACCCAGTTGATCATTCCATGAAAAATTAACCCTCTACTAAGGCAGACAACAGCTCTGGTCCAGTGAGCAGTGCAGGCTGATCCACAGAAACAAGAAGAGAACCATTCTGTTCTCCTCTGCTGGCACCCAGGCTCAACTGCTCAGGTAGAGAAGAGTTGCCAAGAAAGAAGATACCCCATCATTCCCACAGGCTCTCATTTCTATATTTAGCAATCTTCACCAACAGGAAAACCTAATTATAATAATCTAAATCCCTCTCACTAAATATATGATATCTAAATATGCCTACCCCCAATGTCATTAAATAATTGTATCTATTCTTAATGTTCAGCAAAGGGTTGGAGTGTTTCTTTGTGAGTCAAACAAAAACACATTTCAACTAATAATGAAATACTGAGTAATTAACATTCCCTTACAATAGATAAAATATATGTATACGATTGTCACTAGGAAATAGATTTTAGAAGGGGAACAACCATAACCCAGACCCCGATCTCTTCTCTTCCTATTGTATCACATCAAGAGTTTGCAATTAACATATCTAAACTGGGGATCTGTAACTTGGACTCCACAGATAGGCTCAAAAGTTGCTCTATTAGGCTGGGAACAGTGGTTCATGCCTATATCCCAGCACTTTGGGAGGCCAAGATGGGAGAATCACTTGAGTCCAGGAGTTCAAGACCAGCCTAGGCAACAAGGCGAGAGCAACCTATACAAAAAACACAAAAATTAGCCAGGCATGGTGGTGCATTCCTGAAGCCCCAGCTACTAGGGAGGCTGAGGTGGGAGGATCGCTTGAGGCTGGGAGGTCAAAGCTGCAGCTAGCCATGATCATGCCATGGCATTCAGCCTAGGTGACAGAGTGAGACTCTGTCTCAAAAAACAAACAAATAAAACAAAACAAATAAAAGTTGCTCTATTAAAAATTCATGTTGGCCAGGAACAATGGCTCACGCCTATAATCCCAACACTTTGGGAGGCCAAGGCAGGCAGACTACAAGGTCAGCAGCTCGAGACAAGCCTGGCCAACATAGTGAAACCCCATCTCTACTAAAAATACAAAAATTAACCAGGTATGGTGGCGGGCACCTGTAGTCCCAGCTACTTGGGAGGTTGAGGCAGGAGAATCGTTTGAACCTGGGAGGCGGAGGTTGCAGTGAGCTGAGACCACACCATTGCACTCCAGCCTGGGTGACAGAGCCAGACTCTGTCTCCAAAAAAAAAATTCATGTCTATGAGTATGAGTGCAAACATACATGCATACTTGCAGGGAGAGGGTTAATGGCTTTAGTCATATACTTATGACTGAAAGAAAAGCTAGGAATCACTAACCTAAAATAATTCTGAGAAGTATTTATAAAAAAAGACTGTACTGGTATTAGATACACTTTTTTTTCTTTTAATTAAAGAATAATAACCATGAAATATTTCAAACATACAGAATGGTACAACCAATGACACTTTAATTCTATTACCTACCACCAGGATTAAAAAGGTATTACCTTCCTGACATATTTGGGATGTATCTCTCTCTTTTAAGAAAAGACATAATACAGATACAGGAAAGATTCTAATTCTGAAATCCCTTTCCCTCTTGAAGTTGTGTAACATTCCCGTAATGGTTTTTTGTTTTGTTTTGTTTTTTTAGATGGAGTCTCGCTTTGTTGCCCAGGCTGGGGTGCAGTGGCACGATCTCTGCTCACTGCAACCTCCTCCTCCCGCGTTCAAGCAATTCTCCTGCCTCAGCCTCCCGAGTAGCTGGGACTACAGATGTGTGCCAGCACGCCCGGCTGATTTTTTGTATTTTTAGTAGAGACAGGGTTTTGCCATGTTAGCCAAGATGGTCTTGATCTCCCGACCTTGTGATCTACCCACCTCAGCCTCCTGAAGTGCTGGGATTACAGGCGTGAGCCACCGCGCCCGGCCCCCATAATCTTTTTAAGGGGTAAAATATATATGTCTTGACATACCTTTAAGTCCTGATTCTCCTCCATACTCTGATCCAGACGACTTTGGATTATAATCTGAATATAAGACAAAAAGAGATAGCTAAACACCTATGCCGTGAAGTTCAGAGGCCACTCATTCAACAAATATTTATTGAGCACTACTAGATGCCAGCTCTGTACTGTGGATACAAATAAGAACCGGAAACAGTTCCTGCTCTCTGATGGAAGCATATGCATCAAGTAGCAGGTAGATCTATGTGGATAAAGCTTAAAATAAGTATGGGTGGGCCAGGTGTGGTGGCTCACATCTGTAATCCCAGCACTTTGGGAGGCCGAGGCAGGCAGATCACTTGAGGTTAGGTGTTCAAGACCAGCCTGGCCAACATGGTGAAACCCCACCTCTACTAGAAATACAAAAATTAGCCAGGTGTGGTGGTATACACCTGTAATCCCAGCTACTCGGGAGGCCGAGGCAGGAGAATCACTTGAACCCAGGAGGTAGAGGTTGCAGTGAGCCAAGATCGTGCCACTGCACTCCAGCCTGGGCAACAGAGCAAGACTGTCTCAAAAAAAAAAAAAAAAAAAAGAGGAAGTATGGGGTGGGGGTTGGATGCAGGGGAGGGGGTGGGGTAAAAGGAAGAAGAAATGGCAAGAGATGAAGTTGGAGAGAAATATCAGGGCCAGATCATGAAAGGCCAGTGAGGGCAATGGGGAATCAATGAAAAGTTTTATGCAGAAGGGTGACAAAATGAAGTCTGTCTTTAAAGCAAATTATTCTTGCTGTTTTACAAAAAATGAATTAGAGGAAGACAGGAGAGGAATCAGGTAAACCAGTTAGAAGGTTGCTAGAATACTGGATGGAGGCTTGATTTTTAAGTGGCTGTGAGAATGGAGAAAACTGGATAAAGAAATTAGAAATGTAAACTGGTAAAACCTGGTGACTGACTGATGTAGAGGAAAAGGATTAAACGATAATATCCAGATTTCTATTTGGTGCATTTAGGTATCCAAAACAGATATCCAAAAGGACAAGTAGCTTTGGTGGTTGGGCAGAGGACAGAAAAACTTTAATTTAGGACTCACTGAAATTGAGATGCTTATGGGACTTACAAGTGGAGATAATAAGTAGGCAGTTGCATATTGCATACACACATCTAGAACTCCATAGTGAGGGCTGAGCTGGAAATAAATACATGAGAAGCAAGACGGAAGTGAGTGAAGAACTGGAGGCAGATACTACTGCCCAGGTGAATGTTTAAGACACATGAGGGCCTAGACTGGAATGCTGAGGAACACTAACATTAAAGGCACAAGCAGAAAAAGAGAAGCTTCAAAGAGAACTTGAATGTAAACTCCGTAAGAGTCGGGTCTTAGGTCTGTTTTGTTGCTACCATATCTCCAGCATGTTGAAATAGGGTCTGGCATATAGTCAGCACTCAATAAATATTTTTTTTATTAAATGAATGAAGAAGGAAACAATGTTCAAAAATGTAGGAGGAAAACCAGAACTGGTCAAGGAAGACAGCATTTCAAGAAGACATGAACAGCAGTGTCAAATGCTAAACACAAGTCAAATACATACAAATTTAGCGTCCAGTCACAAAAGATGGAGCTCACCAGTTGTTCCTCGGGATTGACACCTGGTTCACAGAAGGCCAAGGGCCTCTCCTGTTCATCTTCAGGCAAGGATCCGTTGAGCAATAAGGCCTAAATAACCGCAAAGGCAGAACGAAACTTAACTCTCCTTCAGATGACTTAGTGCAGAGTTAAGCTCACCCCTAGTTAAAATCACAACTCAGCTTCCTCAAGAAATTTCATCGGTAATTTTTGCTCCTTAGATACTTCCCATTGCTCACCCTGGGACTAGTTCCTTTCATCAGGTCCATGCTCTGGCTCTTTCAGCTCTCTGGACACCTGACTGCTCTGCTTCAAGGTGCCTTGGCCCCAGAAGAAAATCTAAAAACCTTTCTTTCAAAAGAGACACAACACATTTCAAACTGGAGCTGCTCAAACTCAATTTTACCAGGGAGAAAATGATCTAAAAGCAGTGTAGAATCATCGCGGCTTAGAAATGAGTATTATAATGAATTATTTGGAATCCATTTGGAGCACTCACTTGAGTTTGTTTGATTTTTGTTTGTTTTACTGATTCTGCATTTTTACTCCCTAAAGCAACCTGTATAGAACAAGAAGGAAAACACATTTGCAGAGAGATGTCCTCATTCATTTCAGCTCCTGACCCAGGCGGTTTTCATTAGAATATAAGTAGGTGGAATGGGGAGGCAGATTTACCATGAAGCTAAGAAAGCTCCAGCTGTAGGACCCCGCATACATTGCCTCTCCCAAGGTCCTATACCAAATAATAATATAATTATTATTACAATTATTATTATTATTATATTTGGAGACAGAGTCTCACTTTGTCACCCAGGCTGGAGTGCAGTGGCCCAATTTTGGCTCACTGCAATCCAGGGTTCAAGCTATTCTCATGTCTTAGCCTCCCGAGTAGCTGGGATTAGAGGCATGCGCCACCACACCTGGCTAATTTTTGTATTTTTGGTAAAGACAAAGGTTTCGCCATATTGCCCAGGCTGGTCTCAAACCCGTGAGCTCAAGCAATCCACCCGCCTTGGCCTCCCAAAGTGCTGGGATTACAGGCGTGACCCACCATGCCTGGCCTATTCCTAATTATTATATTCATAATTTTGTAATCTTATTCTTCAAGAAGCCCCCCTGCACACACACAAATTATATATTTTAGGACTTGCAAAACTTGGATCTGTCCCTGCAGGTGAGTATCTATCAGATCAGTGAAAGACTGAAAAATGTGACCCCATTTTATATCTGAAACAATTCTGTCTTGATTCAAAAGAGATGAGTTACAGAAGCTGTTTCCTATTTCAATAAACAACACAAATTCAGGTGGGCGAGGTGGCTCACACCTGTAATCCTAGAACTTTGGGAGGCCGAGGCGGAAGGATCCCTTGACGGTAGGAGTTTGAGATCAGCCTGGGCAACATAGTGGGACCGTCTCTACAAAAAATTAAAAAATTAGTTGAGCATGATGGCGCATGCATGTGGTCCCAACTACTCAAGAGGCTGAGGTGGGAGAATCACTTGAGCCCAGGAGACCAAGGCTGCAGTGAGCCATGATCATGCCACTGCACTCCAGCCTGGGCAACAGAGCGAGACTCCGTCTCAAAAATAAATAAATAAATAAAATCCAGCCAGTGGCTGATCTGCCATATGCTAATAATAAAATTTGAGTAAGTCAAATGAATTTGGCTATCTCATGTGTCATGGCAACAGGTACAGACACGTGTCATGGCAACAGGTACAAGAGGCCGCAGGGAGCTAAGGGAGTTCAACATTATGGAAATATCAACGATAATGGCAAAACTGTTCAAAGGGTTCTAACTAAGGAATACTAATAAGTCAGAAATCTTGGATGTGGCTTAGCATGCAACTTGTTAATCACTGAAAAGAGTTAAGAAGCCCAGTGGATGCTGTGAGCCCTTTTGTATTCTACAATGGAACTGAATTCTCATTGTGATCATGTGGCTGTGAATTAAAACTCTTCTGTTTGCAGGGAATATTAAGATGCTGACTTTCTGCCTGTCAGTTCTCTTCTTTTTCTGTCTAATCTGCCACCAAATTTCTCCCAGACTAAGAAATGCAAACAAACTTTGAGCCAAACTGATGAATATCTATGTTCATATAATGCAAATCATCCTGGGAACAACCTGGTTGGGTATAATCTCGAAGTTCTCCATGACATACTTCCTATGCAAGCAAAACACACACAAAAACATTCCATTAACGTATTCGTTAATGGAGTGGCAGAAAAGAGATCTAAAAGGTCTCATAAGCCAGCCATTTTAAAAATACAGAGCAAATGAAGTTTGGGAATGTTTATGCAGGAAACATTCCTCCCATACTTCTCAGTTCCTGGGGCATACATTATGCAAATTGCTTTACCATAGCACCAATCTCCTTTTTTCTTTAGGAACCCTTTGTGTCCCCACCCTGTTGCAGGCTAGCTGGGAGCACGCCCTCCACTGCCTGCCGGCTGCCAGAGCCACACACATAATGTGGGCTTTGTTTATGTGTCCATAAATATTTGACAATTCAGAAGCACTGCAGTTCCCAGCACAAACAGAAAGGAATATTCCTAGGCAATTTCAGGGTCATCAGCACACTAAGGACTCCCCCAAACAGAGACAGACACACAAAGACAGGAATGAGGGGGTCACTCAGGGTGGGAACTATGTCAAGTGGGTCAGTCCCTGGGGTAGATTTGCCAAGCTGGCACCTACAGGTATAGGAAAAACTGAAGGGCTTTTGTTGCTCAAAAAAACCCTCTTCTACCTGACCATTATGCCTTGGCATCCATTTGCACATGTATTAGGAGTGAGCTAAATCCCTTAGCTAAACTCAAATGGAAACCTGGCAGCATTACTGGCTCTTACACTCTTCCTGCTACAGAATTCCTAGAAGAAAATTCCTGACTATTCACAGTGCTATTCTTTGGTGAAAGCTGCAATTGCAGGTCGACCGCCACATACTGCGTAGAAGCCTACCTATGTAGCAGAGCGTCAACAATAAGGACTTGATAGGGATCAGTAATGGCTCCTGGGCTTGCTGAAATCTTAAGCACTCTGCTATGAACAGCAGCCCACAAAGTCCATTTAAAGTACTCAAATATAAGGAATTTTCTGCTCTTTCTGTACTACTCCCTATATCTAAACTCCTCACTCAGTTCTGACCTCCTACAAAACTAAAATCAGTTTATTTTCAATTGATAATAGTGACTTAATAATCAATTGGTATAACAAGGGCAAACTACAAGGGCAAGAGCTACCTGTAGTCCTGATATCATTTTCTTTGCTTCTTCCATTTCTTTTTCTAAATATTCTTGTTGTTCCAACAGCTGTTCTTCCCATGAGGTCTCCAGATAGGTTCCAGGGCTCCCTGGCCGCCAGTCTCTAGATAATGGAGACTCTGTCTCCTCTATAAAATGAAAAGAGGGAAAACAGTTCATGTTGAAGAAAACTGATTTCCGGCAGAAAGCGTTCACAGGGTAGCGTTCACAGGTTCAGGTCACCTGCGTTCTGAACCTGTTCTCACAGCACAGACTGGACTCTCCACCAGGTGGGGTTGTGAGGCATAAAGAACTGGCTATGAGCTCAGGCCTCAGGCTCACTTGGTGCTAGAACAATCTATCCTCTTTTAAAACACTTAGGAAGTAGAAGATTTCCTCCATGGGAGCCTTGGTATGCGCCACACAGACTTTACCCTTGATTCTTAGAACTGGCATTCCAAGAGCCTGATTTTTGCCAGGTACAAAGAGAGGAGCTGTCAGATGAATGAAAACAAAATCTTACTGGTTACTCTGAAGGTTTAGTGGGGAGACCTCAATTCAATATTCCTTTGACCACTCGGTCGTAACTGGACCACTTTCATACAGAATACTGTGTGAGTCACACAGCAAACAAACCAATAAAAACAAACCTGCACAAACTGTTTAGCATCACGTTTATTTTCCTAGTTTTAAGGTCTCTTTGCTCTGGTTTCCTTGTCTATTTTATACGATCTAATTGTATGTACAGCCATTTAAAATGCATATTCTAGAATTCAGAAAGGCATAAACTCTTTCAGTGAGTTTCTTCATTCATGAGACGAGTATAATAACCCCTCTGGGTTGCCATGAGGATTAAATGAGGTGACTCATGTGCAGAGCCTGCTGGTGCCTGGCCGAGAGGAGCACTCAATAAATGCTCTCCCTCTCTCTCTAAGGCCTCAGGAGTTTTGACTCAGTAACATGACTGACTCTTTGGTACTAATGCCAGGGTTAGATGGGGAGCAGAATACAGAATAATTCAATTACAGTTTTTCTTCTGAGGGCCTCTGTTTCATTACAACTCTTGTGAGTAAATAAAATTCTAAGTCTTGCACTTTGCTTCTTACATGTTTCTCTCTCTATGCAAGAAAAAAAAGAGCAACTGAGACAGAGTATGTAAGTCTAAACAAAGGGAACTGTTTGTGGTCCTTTCTGTAGCTTCATACCAAGCCTGATACAGACCTGCTCTGTACTCTCTGTGTCCTCACAGACACCTCAGCTCATACAATATACTTCTGGTCCCAATTTAAGTTATGTAAGTCCTGCAATTATTTGTGTAAGATAGGAATAATAAAAATGTTTACTTGAGTAAGGCTTTTGACTGCCCCAAAGTCATTTCCTAATTCATAGGCAGCCAGCTGAGAAAGGGCCTGTCTATGCTGCTGCAAGATTTTCGACAGCTAGGACACCAGAAATTACATTCTGCAAGAGGATAACCACATTAATTGACTCAAAGTCATTAGAGCCCTCTAGCGCTGACCCTGCACACACTATGGAGATGGGGAAGGCCAGGGAGCTTATTGGTGGTCAGGACCTCTAAATTCTTCAAGCTGGCTGTTCCTTGAACCAACCCAGGCAGGCGTAGAGATAGTACCTGTTCTGGTCTCTATTCCTTCAGAGGGAATAATCACAAAATCTGCCTTCTCTTCTGACTGGGTTATAATGGACTCACTCTTGGCACTGTGGATTGGACTGGGTGAAGTCAGGCTGTGATTGAAGAAAAAGGAAGAAAAATGATTATTATGAGGAGTTGTTCAGAAAGCAGCTTTCATAATTTATTCCTGAGAACAGGGACATGTTCTTAGTCATCTTACTCCTCCATGGCTAACACAGTACTTGGCCCACAGAAAATAAAATATTTAATGATTAACCTTTTGAATGAATGAAATTAATATTGAATAAAGGAATGACCCAGTCCTATAAAGTCTTTTCCACAACAAGGATGCCTTTAAGCCTAATTCATTGAGAAGAGATTTACCAAAATGATGGGTAATCTAGCATTCAAGTTTTGTTTTGTTTTACCTCCCACCACCTCTGCCATCACCATCCCTGGGCCCACGTTCAAAGACTGATGCCAGTCTGTGTCTAGTAGCTTTTGGAGCTAGAAGGAAATTTTATTTCCAATACACTGATCTCTCACAGATACAGGCACTACCAGCCAAGTTATCGTGGCAGATCAGCTCTGAGCTGATTACAAAGGAGAGTACAGGGTGGGGGTGGTTCAAGGGGAAAAGTTGCTGGAGAGCGTACATTGCCAGGCTGGGCAGAGGAGCAGTTATATATCAATAACTGAGCTAGAGCATGACAAGGGGAAGATAATATGTCAAAAGGGGAAATTCCTGCTAGGGATAGTGGAGTAAGGGTTTACTTGATTTATTCCTATCAAAGAGTTATTTATATTTCTGACACAACACTTTCAAATTGTTCTCAGAATCTTCTCAACAATTCTTAAGGTTTTGTTTTATTTTTTTCAGACACGGTCTCACTCTGTTGCCCAAGTTGGAGTGCAGTGGCTCCATCATAACTCATGGCAGCCTCAAGCTCCTGGGCTTGAGCAAATCTGTCTCAGCCTCCCGAGCAGCTAGGACTATAGGTGCACATGATGCCCAGCTAATTTTCAAATTATTTTGTAGAGACAAGGTCTCCCCATGTTACCCAGGCTGGTTTCGAACTCCTGGGCTCAAGTGATCCTCTCTCCTCAGTCTCTGTACTGGGATTACAGGCATGGGCCACCATACCTGGCCCTTAAGTTCTGATATAACTACTAGCCTTGGAAGGAACTATGCAGATTTTCAGGGAAGTGTTTTTTCTCCAAAAAAACAGCAAATCTACAAGACAAGATGGGACTGTGAGGCTGGTGCTTCCATGTGACAGGGAAAACGAGTCTCGAGCCATTTCTCTTTGCACTGCACCTTGAGAACATCAGCAATGAAACAATCTCAGGGGCTGAGGGGTCTCCTGGCCCAGCCCCCTCTCAGGAATTCTTTCCAAATCTATCACCCAGACAACAGTGAAAGTGGCTAGGATTCACTGACCCACTTAATGTGCCCCTGTAGTCTCCCAGGCAAATCCTCACAACCACCATCAGGAGTTAACATTTTGTCTTCCTAGAATCCAGTAAAAACAAGAGCCAGGCACGGTGGAGGTAGCCAGGCACTTCAAAAGCGGTGAGGCAGCCTGAGGACTAGTGTCTCATCCTCCTCATTGCCCATATTTTAAGGGCTTTGGTGGGAATGACCTCAACTAGAAATACATTCTCTTCCTTCTTAGAACTACAGAAAACATTTTAAAGCTTTTAAATTGAAATGCCAAATTAAAGAAAGTTGCTTAACCATTATCTATAGATCTATAACCCAAACAGGCAGAAGGGGTAGGGAGTGGCAAGAAGTGATATTCCAAAATAGCAACTGCTTTCTAGAACTTTCTTATTCATCTTTCACCGCTTAGGCAATCTTGACTTCCAGGCCAACATGAATTTGCTGCTTGAAAAGCTCTCATCCAAGGGTACTATGTCATTCACAAGGAGAATAGATTTGTGCCTGCTCAGGCCTCAGCATTTACCTTCTTAAGAGAAATGGGGATCCAAGCATAGAAAGCGGCCTGCAAGAGCTGCTCATCTTTGAGAAACAAGAAAGCAACACTTTCTCATCTGACAAGGTGCTATGGATGGCATGTTCCACCCTCCGCCTTTGCTGGACCACAGCACGTGTGAGACAAAGTCGAGGAGGAGGGTGCAGTGTGAACCCAGGATGCTAGAAAACTGCTTTCCTAAAAGCACAGACGCATGCTCAGCTCCTTCTCCCTCCTAAGAGAGTTATCTCCCATATAAGGGCAGAAGGAGGCGGATGTCTGGATATCCAACCCCGCTGGGGGAGTGGCAGAGCAGCCAAAGGAAAACAACATTTCTATTTCTTGAATTGAGGCTGCCAATGTGAGGCCACCGAGAGGTGAGACCATGAAACTCGATGGCCAAGTGGAGAGATAAAGGACCTCAGGCAGGAAACTCCCGAGGCACATGTCAGAGCAGGCACCCTGCTGCCTCCCTAAGAAGTACCTCATGGACAAGGAATATGCATTGAATCCTCTGCCCCAGGTCAGAGAAAATATTTTAATGCTAATTAATTATGTATATGACAGGCTCCTCCCTGATTAGCTTAAAAGTTCTATTTTATAAACAAATAATCCCCTATTTAGCATCATAATCCTCTCTGAGGTCAGAGAATGACTGATAGGTCTGGGGTGATACATTTCTTAATTCCCACAGGTCTAATAGCTCTTCTATCTTAATTTACCAGACAAGCAATCCTGCAGCAAAGATACTTCCAAATCCTACTCAAATTAATTTTTTTAAACGGATAATAGGCAATAAGGAAGAGTCCTATATCCTCATGAAGTGCCCTCCCCCACCAAAGACCCTGGCAGGGGCTAGGGCTACTCCTTCTGCCCCCATGCTGGCTCCACTTCCTAAGCCCACCCACCGTATTTTATAGTGATAACCCCTGGTCAGCAGTCGATCCTCCCATAGTGCTCCCACCACCCCGCCTGTCTCTGGCCAACAGCATCCTCCAGCCCTGCCCCTGCTCCCACCCTGGCCACCCACTTCCAAAGCCAGAGTGGCTTCAGCTCACCATTTGACTTGCGTCCCTCCCATGGTCCCCCTCCTGCCTCGGGCTTCAGCAAGCCTGCGTCCCCAGGTGAAGTGGGAGGCTGAGAGTCACATCGCTCCCAAATCCAGGCATGTCTCCCCGCGCTGGGGCTGGAAAACGCCTCCACGGGAAGGCCAGCTAGCAGAGCTACTGGCCCGGCTCGCGGGAGAAAGTGGGAACGGTGGCGGCGGCGTCTCGGCCCCAGCGACGGAGATGCTCCAGGCTCTGAAGCGCGCTGTCCCGGCCGCTCAGACTGTGCCGCAGCCCGGCCCCGGCGGAAGCTGCCTCCACTCGCAGGCTGCCGGCCCCTGGCCGCTGCATCTTGGCCTCCGCGGACGCTCGGCGCCGGGCATCCCCCCTGGTGGGGGCATCTCAACCCATCTCCCACTGGGAGGGAGGCTCCCGGCAGCGCAGGCTGCGCCTTGAGTCCCCAGCGGCGATCCCGCTCCGCGCCACCTTCCGGATCCCTTCCTGCCCCTCCCTCTGCTCCCTCCCCGGGCTGTCACAAGCGGCGAGGCAGCCGGGCTCCGACCCAAGCCAGCTCCACTGGCCAACCGACCGCTCTGGACGGAGGTTGAGGGTGCGGGCCAGGGGCGGGGCTGGGCGGGGTTGGGGTGGGGTGGGGGTGGGGGCGTCGACGAGGGATTGGGGGATGCAAGGAGGGGAGACTGGGAGGCTCAGGATAGGCAGGGTAAGAGCCGCGTATTGGCAGAATCAAGAGGAGGGCTCTGGTGGTCTGCCCCGCACCGAAAACCTTGCCTTCTCCACTCTGAGTCCTCCCTTCGTGGACCAGGGGTCGCTTGGACAGGTCAGGCCCGCGTGGGGCTCTGGCCGCTCCTCGGGGTGGAGACTCCGACACTCCCCAGGAAAATTCGCTGAGCACCCATCCCCTCCCACCTTCCCCTCTGGCGTTTGGTGTGTTCTTTTTAACCAAGTAAGGATCATTTTGCTTGGCTACAGTGAGAGGCTGGTATGCGGTTTTCGGTTTTCGGAGCAACAGGCTGGCAGGGCTTCCCCAGGGCGTCTCCGGAGGAGCAGTGGCAGGGGATGAGACACCCAGGGGCTATCCTTCCTTCTGAGCCACTCCCGTCCTGAGCAAGCCACATCTGGGGGCTCCTGAGCTCTTCATGGGTCACAGAGCCACTAAGTGGGCTCCCTGGGAGGCGAGGGCTCAGAATGTGCAGGAACCTGCTGGGTCCCAGATAGCCACAAGAAGCTCTCTCCTTCCCTGGGGACTCACTGAGGAAAAGGCAGCTACTAAGCCAGCATGCCAAAGAGCTGGATGAGGGGTCGGCATTAGAAGAAAATGTCAAAATCGAATAGTGAAAAACAGGGTAAAGCAAACAATTCTCCTCTGGGCCCTCTCCTAGAAAACTGTCACCATTAGCTCACTGCAGCCTGATAGCCAGTGGGCCACTCATTCACACAGTCTCACAGTCTCACAGCCTCCCCTCAGTCCTCCTGCCTTGGAGGAGAAAGCAGGTGCTCTCAGGAAGAAATCCACTCTTCCTCCTATCCCCCAACTCTAGCAGGCACTATCAGGCTTAGAAGAGTGAAAGGCCTGCTGACATGCAGGAAGCAATAGATCTCATCATACAACAAAAACATCCTGTAATTCTGCTCCAGGTGATAACCTAAGCAGCAAGCAAGGAAGAAATGATTTAGAGTCTCATTAAAAGCACACCTGTTGCTTACTGGGCACGGGGCTTCCTTTTGGGGTGATGAAGATGTCTTCTGAGTGGACAGAGGTGATGGTCGCACCACATTATGAAGATACTAAGTGCCACTGAATTGTACACTTTATAATGTTTAATGGTTAATTTTATGTTAGGTGAATTTTATAAATAAAAAAGAGCCCACCTATTAAATGTAAAAGGCAAAAAGTTAGCAGTATATTAAAATACGAAAAAGAGTTCCATATGACCTCAATAAATTAGGAAATGGTATATCAAAATAGGACGGAATTTTATGAGAAAAAAAGAGAAGAAAGAAAACAAAGACACATAACATACATACAAGAAAAAGAACAAGTAGCCCTAAATAAAGCAGATTACACAGGGTCGGGATAGGAAAGAAAAGGTCATTAGAGCATAAATTATGATTCAGCAACAAAATGAAGTTAGTTAAAATATGATCTGGGGAGTGTTTATAGGAGCATGATTTACATAAGCCAGGAAAGTAATCTTTTTCTGCCACTGATAAGGTTCTTATTAGGGTACTGTATCCTGTTTTGGTCTCTGTACTTGGCTCTAAGAAATACAGACAACTTTTAGCTAGAGTCGAAAACATCATTAGCTTGCTCAAATGCATACTAATCAGCCACAGTTCCTGTAGAGGAAAGCTGGAAACATTCTAATGCTCTCAGACAACTCTGCTCAATTTCTATGAGCTTTACACAGACTTTTCAGGCCATACCTTAAGAGTTACACTTAGGCTCAAGGACAGCGCAATGGAACTAGCTATCATAAACACTGGCAGCTGATACGCAAATGTCAGAACCTGGACTAGGCCCTGACAGGTTCCAGCCATGCCCCCATGTGGTCACAGTTAAGCACTGGCACTGGGACTGCACAGATTCCATTTGTGGGAAATAAAGCAGCACCCGACCCTACCTTCCTACCCTCCTACCAGCACAAACCCACAAAGCACTGCTAAGGGGTATGCCTTTAAAGTCAAACATAAACTGAGGAGAGAAAAAGGGCTTAGATGCCTTTTTGCTTGTTGTGTTGTTACTTGAAGCTGAGAACTCCGAGAATCCCCCAGAATTCAGGTTTCAGAGGCCACAGTTACCTGGAGCAGCTGGATTCAGACGGGGACCTTTGTTGCCCTTCATACTGCTGCACTAGGGCCCGCACGCTCCAGTATGGATTCTCAATTTCCTCATCCATGCTGCTGTTCCTAAAGTCAAAGGACACCAGCAAAGGGAGGGTGTCAGTCCTTCAGATCAGATCAACTCAACGAGTACAGATAGACTGCCACTCTGAGAGCAGTATAATAGATGAGTAAGACAAATCCCCTGCCTCAGAGACACTTGGTACCTAGCAGGGAAGGCAGACACAAAAACAAGTAATTCACCAATCTCTGCAACACCTCAGGGTCCTGCTCTCTCTTAGCAGATACACAACCCACAAAGCATTTCCTGCCATGACTCCCCAGGACAACCTGACCTTTGGGTACATTCCAGGGTAGAGCTTCCCCTAGATGAACTGGAACACTGCTCCCACAGACCTCCCGGTGAAGAAAACACACTTGCCAAAGGTGTATATTTAAATTTTGGGCACCAGAGCAAAAACTTACACATAAGATTCCTTAACTTTCTGTTAAATGCAAAATAAAAATAAACATCTCAGAAGAAAAGGCTTTTTTCTTTTGAGAGTACCCTCCCCTACCTCCCCACTCCATGTTCTTTTCTGCAATCTGGGGCTGTTTGGGTGACATTTCTATCTACTGTACTGTATCATCTAACAGAAGAAATATCAGAGAGAGGGATCAGTTCCCATCCCCAGATTTCTACTGTTACCTCTGTCTGTATCGAAAGACATCCCGTCCTGATCGGGACATGTCATGACACACATCGGCCAGAGCAGCAGCTGCTCCCTGGGCCACAGCAGTGGCACAATGTGGTCGGTGACTTTGTAAAGGGGCTCTGGAGTCCCGTCCTTGGTTCACCGTCCTGCTAGAGCCAGGTTTGAAATGAGCTGCCAAGGCAAGGACCAGCCTCATGATAGACTTCAGGTTTCCGTCCACGATATCTGAAGGACAAAACAGACCAAGAGGTCCTAAGAGGGAGGCAAAAGCTGAGGACTTAGGCATTTAATATGTATTGCTAGTGATACAGGTTAGCAATGCAGTCAGAGTCTCAGTCCTAACAAAGCTCTGGGCAACAAGGGAGACAGAATATATAACAGCAATGACAATAAAGTAAGGTCACGTGCTTTGGTAAGAGAAGTACAGGAATCTTTGGGAGGTCAGAGTAGAGACACCTTATCCAGACGACTCAGAGAAGGATTCCTAGAGGAAGTGGGTTCTAAACTGAGACTTGATTGATGAAGAGCAGCACTTTAGTTAGATAAGAGAAAGACGAAGAGTATTCCAGGAAGAGGGAACAGCAGGTGTGAAGGTCTTGAAGTGGAAGACAGCATGATATGTTAGAGCTACGCCATCCAGTATGGGAACCATTAGCCACCTGTAGCTATCTCGGCTCACTGCAACCTCCGCCTCCCAGGTTCAAGCGATTCTCCTGCCTCAGCCTCCTGAGTAGCTGGGACTACAGGCACCTGCCACCACGCCCAGCTAATTTGTTATGTTTTTAGTAGAGACAGGGTTTCACCATGTTGGCCAGGCTGGTCTTTAACTCCTGACCTCAGGTGATCCGCCTGCCTCAGTCCCCCAAAGTGCTGGGATTACAGGCGTGAGCCACTGCGCCCGGCCCACCAGTTTCCTTTTTTATAATGTGGCTATTAGAAACTTTTTTTTTTTTTTTGAGACAAAGTCTCACTCTATCACCTAGGCGGGAATGCAATGGCACTATCTTGGCTCACTGCAACCTCTGCCTCCTGGGTTCAAGTGATTCTCCTGCCTCAGCCTCCCAAGTAGCTGGGATTACAGGAGCCCACCACCACGCCCAGCTAATGTTTGTATTTTTAGTAGAGATGGAGGTTTCACCATGTTGGCCACGCTGGTCTCAAACTCCTGACCTCAAGTGATCAGGAGTGTGATCAGGGATGGGGAGGCCTAGCCTCCCAAAGTGCTGGGATTATAGGTGTGAGCCACTGCGCCCAGCCTGCTATCAGAAACTCTTAAGTTACCTATGTGACTTGCATTCTATTTCTGTGACACAGCACTGTGGTGGAGGAAGTGAAAGAAGTTCAGCATAGCCAGAGCCCAGAATGCGGGGGAAGACAGGGAAAGGTGAGGCAGCAGGGGGGTGAATTGGGGGGTGAATCAGAAGGGGGATCACACAGGGCATGGGAGGCCACAGGAAGGACTCTGGATTTTATCCTAAGGGTCCTCAGATACAGAGGAGTGGCATGAGTATATGTACTCTTGGAAAGATCATTCTGACTGCAGTGTGGAGAGCAGATGAGAAGGGGACAAAAATCAATGCCGCGGGACTAACTCAGACTGTTACACTTCTCCAGGTAAATGACAATGATGTCCTAAATGGCAGTGTTCCCTCAAAATAGCTGACTTTAATGGGCCAGATCCCCAAGCCCACTCCACATGGGAACCAGATCAGAGGTATCATGAACTCTACATTTTGCCCTAGAAATAAAAGAGGAATGTAGGCAGAAAACAGTGTGGTAAGTCTGGTGAAAGTCAATGTAAGGAAATGGGTAAAATTTTATTTTATTTTTTAGCTTTGTATCCTTTAAATATACAAGTCTTGGAGAAGGATTATTTGTGTTTGTTTTTTTCTTTTTCACCTTTTGTTTTAGAAGCAGGTGGTACACATGCAGCTTTGTTACAAAGGTATATTGTGTGATGCTGAGGTCTACGGTACGACTGAACTCATCATCCAGATAGTGAGCACAGTACCCAACAGGTAGTTTGCAGCCCTTCCCCCGCTCCCTCTCTCCCTCCTCTAGTAGTCCCCAGTTTCTACTGTTCCCATCTCTTGTCCCAATGTGCACCCAATGTTTAGTTCCCAATTATAAGTAAGAACATATGGTGTTTGGTTTGCTGGTTCTGCATTAGTTTGCTTAGGATAATGGCCTCCAGCTGCATCCATGTTGCAGCAAAGGACATGATTTTATTTTTTTATGGCTGCCTAGTATCCTATGGTATATATATACCACATTTTCTTTATCCACTTAACTGCTGATGGGCACCTGAGTTGATTCCATGTTTTTGCTATTGTGAATGGTGCTGCAATGAACCTACAGGTGCATGTGTCCTTTTGGTAGAGTGATTTATTTTCCTTTGTGGATATACCCAGTAATGGGATTGCTGTAGTTCTTGGAGAAATCTCCAAACTATTTTCCACAGTGGCTGGACAAAGTTACATTCCCACCAACAATATATGTGCCCCTTTTCTCCACAGCCTCACCAACATCTGTCATTTTTTGACTTTTTAACAAAAGCCATCCTGACTGGTGTGAGATAGTATCTCATTGTGGTTTTGATATGCATTTATCTGATTAGTGCTGATGAGCTTTTCTTCATGTTTGTTGGCCACTTGTACATCTTCTTTTGAGAAGTATCTGTATATGCCCTTTGCCCACTTTTTAATAGGGTTATTTGTTTTTGTTTATTGATTTAAGTTCCCTATAGATTCTAGATATTAGACCTTTGTCAGATTCATAGTTTGTGAATATTTCCTCCCATTCTATAGGCTATCTGCTTACTCCCTTGATAGTTTATCTTGCTATGTAGAGGCTCTTTAGTTTAATTAGATCCCAATTGTCAATGTTTAGGTTGCAATTGCTTTGAGGACTTAGTCATAAATTCTTTGCCAATGCCAATATCAAGAAGGGTTATTTCCTAGGTTTTCTTCTAGGATTTTTACAGTTCAACATCTTCCATTTAAGTCTTTATTCCATCTTGAGTTAATTTTTGTACATGGTGATAGGGATCTAGTTTCATTCTTCTGCATATGGCTAGCCAGTTATCCCAGCACCATTTATTGAATAGGGATTCTTTTCCTCAT